GGGGGGGGAACCTTCACCTCCATCACGGGAAAAAAAGTTTTTGAAGTCCTGTCGCGGCACATTTATGGTCGGTACTGTCTGTACTGCGACTGAGGGGCCAAAGGGTTGTGGCTCCCGAAGCGTAGCGGCACTGTGGCCCCCCCGAAGGCAGTCCTGTAGCTCTGAGAGGAGGGGGGCACGCCCACGCCCAGTCCTAACCCCGCCCCGAGACCCAGCCCCACGCCAGGCCTCGCTAACCCCTGACTCAGCATCCCCGCGTAGGGAGACGCTCCGTAGGGAAGCCCCAAACCTCCGTAGGGCCTGTGCTGTCCGGGGGCCGGGAGGACCACCTGCTGAGCGTTCCTCCCCGGGGTCTCGAAGGCGAACTCTGGGGGAGAGCTGCTGGGTTTGGAGGGGGTGGAGGTCAGAGGGTCCATCCCGTGGAGAGGAGGGGGCAGAGAGGAGGAGGAGGAGGTGTAGCCTTCAGGAGGAGCAGAAGAAGAGGTGAGGGCCGACGTGAGGAGGGGCCGGCTCCAGTCGTCTTTAAAGATCTGGACGCTCAGCGTGGAGACGAGCGGGAGGAGGCGGTTGGTGACGTGAGCGAGGACCAGCTGCTCGTTGGCGTCGCGGCGGATACGGACGTGGGCGGAGCCGGCCTGAAACAGAGGGGGGAGAGAGGGGGAGGGGGAGAGGGGGAGAGAGTGAGCACTGGGCAAAAGAGTGGAATCTGATTCAATCATTTCTCTCCTCAATTTTTGATTGAGTAGTAAAGTGGTTACAGGACAGATTAAAACAAGTTCAAAGTCATTTACACAAAGTTCCCTTTTACAATTCTGATGTGTGAAAGGAAAAGTCTAACAGTGTGCGGACCTGATTCTGTGATATTGTCCGTGGTTCATCTGAGAAAACGACTGACGAGAGAGTGGAGCACGTTGATGTAGCTCGCCCAAAAACAAGCAGTTGTCAATTCATGATCCTCTCGTAAGACTTTATTGCACTTCTTAAAAGAGTCGTGCAGGAATAAGTGTGAAAACCAAGGAAGTGAGAAAGTGTTATAGCGCTTGTTGTTCCCTTGTGTCAAAGAAGGTGAGGTTTTTTAAACAAAACATGTCGGGATCATTAGTGTGTTTGCCATCGAGATTATTTTCTGCAATAATCCAAAAGGAAACAGAGAAATCTCACGAGGGAATCCCGGAGATGCTGCCTTCAGGGTCCACTACAGAAATACGTCGTCCACACACCACTCTATATAAAGTATGGTAATGTGTAGAGTGCTGCATCAAATAGAAGGCTTCATCACGTCCCCGCAATCAGACCCAACAGCTCTGACCAAATCACCTTTAATGTAAATAAAAAATCTGTTTTTGTTCAGTGATGCTCGTCATGATGCTTCCCCTCAAACAACTTGTTCATCAGTTATCAAAATGACCTCAACAATCAGCGCCTAACTTCAAAATCTGACCTTAAAACACCAAACAGAAGCCCTCGTTTTGTCCTCGATTGCCAGATTTACCGCTCTTTTGGGAATGTGCAGACTTCAAAATGACAACACAGACGTACACACAGACGCTTGCACACACACGCTTGCACACACACACACACACACACACACACACACACACACGCTTGCACACACACACACACACACACACACACACACACACACACACACACACACACACACACACACACACACACACACACACACACACACACACACACACACACACACACACACACACACACACACACACAGTCCCCGGGGCAGAAGTGCAGTCACAGGGTCAAATGAGTTTGGACAGCTGCTCTGTTAGCAGTGGGCCAACAACCAACAGTTGTGTAGCTGCAGCAGCATCCGTCACAACAACACGAGCTGCAGGAGGCATCGATAACATCAACATAAACAACCATCAGAGCGATGTAAACACCGGGCGCTGCTCCACCTGCAGGCCGCGGGAGGAACCGCTGATACGTGGACGTTCAATTCTTAGGCGCTGTACGGTTTTTGGACGTTTATTTTGCAGATAAACACAAAAGAAAATAAGAATAGCAACATGTTAAATGCACACATAAACCAGAGAAGGTTCAGTGTTTTGCCAAAAATGCTATTTCCATTATAAGTGAACTCACAGTTTTGCAAAAGTTTGGTTTAATTAGCTAAAGTTACCTAATCATTTGTATTAAACATTGAGAGCATAGTGCGTGTGTGTGTGTGTGTGTGTGTGTGTGTGTGTGTGTGTGTGTGTGTGTGTGTGT